GAAGGGCAAAATGAGGGGTTTCAGACTCTTGAGATACAAGAGTGAGACTGACTCAACTCTCGGGAGAGGGCCTTGTTATCTTCACGCGCCTGAGGGCCCCGCAATGGTAGCCAAGGATGCCGCAACAACTCAGTCAAATAGTAGTCAACTGCTCATTGCTGACTCCTAAACGACTCCCCAAGCTGCAGCAAAGACACCCCTTCATTCAACTCAACGATCTCGGTCCCCCTCGCAAGCTTTCACCCTCGTGGCTCAATTCCGATAGGATGAACAATGCATCAGCCTGTCGGTAAGTCTGCGGTCCCACAATTGTTCTTGATCGCCCATGTAACAGGCTTGAGTAGTACTCAAGCCTGCAGGCAAGTACACAACCTTGTGACTCGCTCCTGGTTGTCCCCTTTGATGGGTTGAGCAGCAGGAAGGATGAAAGAAAGAAAGAATGAGGGAAAGAAGGAAAAAAAGACAGAAAGAAAGATAGCGAGAGAGAAGGAAGGAGGGTGCGTATTTGTAATTATTTTTTTCCCCTTTGCAACGTTGTCATTTCTTTCGCTTTTTTCATAGCAATGAGAGAGAGAGAGAGAGAGAGAGAGAGAGAGAGAGAGAGAGAGAGAGAGAGAGAGAGAGAGAGAGGTTGACTATTGCGGGCCACCGACACACGCATCGATGTGCATATGTGTATTTTTGGCCCGCAGTAGCCAACTTCGGTCAAAATCAGAATGGCGGACCATCCAACTGTTTCTTTGTTCGTGGCGATTGTCTCTATCTTTGGGTCCGGAATAGGGCTCTCTCTCTGTGTCTCTGTCGCAGCCGTTTTATATGTGTTTGCTTGCATGCGTTCTGACGTTCATGTCGTGCTTAATTCCTGGTTCTTACGCTTGCGTTTCGAAATAAGGGTCCGCCATGTCGGAGTTGTGCCGTGTTGTTCAGTGATGTATGGACTCATGTACGGGGGGGGATGCAGATGTTGAGCAGTAAATACTAGTGTTGCTGCATTACATTCACACATAGAGAGTGTTTGGTAGGTCCCCGTTGACGCCATTGTACGGAAGCAGTGAGACTCCCTTTCTGTCTCTTTCTCTCTCTCTTTTCTCTTGCTGTGTCCACGTATTTCTCTGTACATACAATGCTTTCCAGATGTCAAGGTTCACCACGACCGGACAGAAAAGAAAGTTGGGCGGAGAGTGTCATGCAAGGATGGATGAGTTCCTTCCCCCACGCGGCAAGGACCATAAGACACCTGAAACGGATCGAAGTAGGGGTCGGACTGTAGTTAGCGACCGATAACATATAGGCAGGCTAACAGAGGAGGTACATAAGCAGAAAGTACTGCTTAGAGAGATGTCAGACGAACTACACCGCCTCAAGTCGCTCCTCGATGAAATGACAGAAACTGCAGAGCACAGGATGTTCACCGTGTTCTGGTTGTTGCTTGACAACATGAAAGATATAGACGTTACTCGTCTGAGGGAGGACATGTCAGCCAGACTTCAGGCAATTGCTGAAACGAAGAACACCACGTTCGACGAGTTTCAGGCATGGCTGGATATTGAAAGGGAAAGGCGCACCACAGTCTTGAAGCGGTTCTCCGCCCACGTCACGAAGACAACAAACGGGGAGTCAGATGGAGGAGATGTCATGTGTCTTGCCAGCTGCGGAAAGTGTGTGCTGAAGGAGGGGTGGGCATCGTACAATAGCCAAGATAACAACATAGGTTCGCTACAGGTTCGCTACCAACGACGACACGCAGCGTCGTTGACCTCTTAGCCTTCGTCGAGGACTGCATTCGCCACTTTACGGAAACCGTCGAGGAGTACGGTCTGAGTGAAGTGGGTGTCGGGTCTGTTAATGACGAGCTTCCTGCAAAAATCGCGTCTCTGCTGAGCAGTTGCGAAGACGTAATGGATGCCCTGCAACACACTCGAGGCAGGTTGTTGGCTGGAGAACTGACGATGACATGTATGGAAGGAGATGTTATGGGATGTGGAGAAGGTGAAACGAAGAAGGGAAGAAAAGAAGCTGACAAACCAATCGGAGTGTGTTCGGGAAATGGGGCCACTCTTGGGAAGGATGCGCCTGCGCCACACGTCCTGTTGCCATGCAGTGATGTTGCCGCACTGAAATCTCACCACGTGTGTCACAACTTCCCCTACGTGCTTGCCAACAAAGCACCTTCGGCCGGACCAGAATCTTATGTACTGCCTATGACGACGCAATTTTTTGAAAATTTCGTTGTTGACGCAAACTCTCGGCAAATGGCCAGGCTGGTTGCGGACTGTTTTTCCCATATAATTTCATATATCAAAGAGATAATGGGACTGGTGTTACTGAACGCGGATCATCATGGAGCGGAAAAAAAATGTGAATATTGCAGGAAAGGATTTGACATCCATGTACGCTTGAAAACTCTGTACAGAAGATGTCAAATTGTGGCAGCGCAGGTCATCATGGAAGCGTGATCTCTCTCTCTCTCTCTCTCTCTCTCTCTCTCTCTCTCTCTCTCTCTCTATCTGTGTGTACCTATGTCTGGTTTTCACATACTTGAGGTTGGCTAGTGGGCCGCAACACTGAATGGCCCTCTGTTGGCGCATGTCTACCTGTCCGACAGCACGAAGTTGTCCCCCTTGCAGGCCAATTCTGGTCTCGCATGTCACGTTCGGCGTCGTGTTGCATCGCTGACTGGTGAACGTGTCGATTGTGCGAGTGTTGTTTTCCAAGCTGCAAGAGGTTGACTACTGCGTGCCATGACTGTGTGTACCATTGGTGGTTGTTGTCCCATTGGCCCGCAGTAGCCAACCTGTCTGTCTGTCCAATGTATGTATGCCTGTCTGCGCGAAGCTGACTACTGTGGGCCATGTAAGTGTACACCGCTGCTGGTTGTTCTCGTTCTGGCCCGCAGTAGTCAACCTGTCGCTGGTGCCACATGTTTTTCTGTCTTTCCAGCTGGGTGAGGTTGACTGCTGCGTGCTATGCCAGTGTGTACCGATGCTGGTTGTTGTCCCGATGGCCCGCAGTAGCCAACCGCCCTCTAACGCAGTGTATCTCTTCCTGTATGGGCGAGGTTGACTACTGCGGGCCATGTAAGTGTACACCGCTGCTGGTTGTTCTCGTTCTGGCCCGCAGTAGTCAACCTGTCGCTGGT